ATGGGACACCCTGTATATTTTTAATTCATTGAAAATAATTTTAAATTACATTTCCAAAAACATAGCATACTTGATATTTTGCTCGATTCCTCTTGGAGATATAGAGTTAGGACTTATTCAAAATTCGCCCACTTTGAATAAGTAGGCTTTCAACCGCGCCGGCTGTGATGCAAGAAAATTGGGAAAATTGTAGCTGTGAGCGGCAATTAAAACGAAAATTATATTTGCAATGAGCGATTTAGAACTTTATAACAATTTAAACTATATTTAACAACATCAACACATTTAAACTATGTCTAATAACAAAAAAAATAATAGCAAACCAAGACATGAGATTTTGCTACAGGTGTTCGACATGTCGACCGTCTTCTGTTATGGACAGAACCGTTTTTGCACAATTCTTGCAGAATTCATTAACTCAATAGGGGTGAAAGATACCCTCACATAACCGCTAAGTGATTTTAATTCTTGTCTAGATTATAATGGAAAATTTAAAAATAAGAATCTTTTTTCTTTCGCAAAGATAAAAATCCACAGGCACTAAGTCCGGCGGCCTCGACGGCCAATGGCTGGGATCTTGGTTAGCTAATCAATTTTATTATTCTCTAAATTGGCTGCAAAAGTTAACTGATAACTTCAGCTTTCTGAGGAGGTGCCTCGTCTTGATGGAAAAAATATGTTTTCGGATTCCATTAGGGGCAGATCATCAATCAGGGGTCCAAAGCCTACTAGTTAAAAGTGGCGAACTTTTAAAAATTCCGTATTTTGAAGGGGATTATAACAAAATATCAAGTGTGCTATATTTTTGGAAAGGTAATTTTAAGTTATTTTCATTTAAACAGGGCATTCCAAATAAAAAATCAATGTTTCTGTTGATAACTCTTAAATTATTAATTTAAAAAAAATTATACTTAAACCATTAAATTCTATGTAAAAAGGTTCTATGTTAAAAAGTTCTCTGTAAAATTCTAAGGAAATATTTTCATAAAAATAGAACAATTTTTACAGCAGAAAAGTTACAGCGATTTGTTAAAGATTCACATTTTTGAAAAACACCCCGTAACTCCGAAACGGTAACAGATATCGATGTGCGGTTTTCACCATCATGTTTTTGATCAAAATTGAGCTCCAGACACTGATATTAGTTTTCATTTACCTCCTATAGAAAAGGGTGTTTTCCTTTAAAAGCGTCGAATTTGACCCACCCGATACCTTAAGTTGTCAACCTATGTTTCTATCATTGTCAAGTGTAATTTGTTGTGCTCTCTACACTACTACCTTATAGTTTATAAATATAATTTAATAATTTATATATAATAATAATAATTTATATAAGTACGAAATGCCTTTTTGTAATTTAAAAGTAGTTTAACTGAGGCAACAGTTTAGAAAATACAGTTTGACATTGACAAAATTATAGGATGACAACTTAAGGTATATTGGAATTTGCCTGGTTTTGCATAGTTCCTGTTCATTTGCATGTAACCTGTTCAGTTTTAATTTTAAAATAGATGCAGTTTTTCTTAAATTACTACTTAAAATCGGCTTGTCCAAAATTGTTGAAATTTGGCATGTGTACTTGTATACAGCATACGTAGACCTTTATTACTAACTTTACTGGCTTTAAAACTATTTACGACTTTGTTATAAAATTAATAAGCGAACCAGGAGAGTTTAAAACTTGCATGTTTCCATCAACGCGCGACGATGTACGACCGGGTAGAGAAGAACTATTTAAAAATTTATAATAGAACGTTGAATAAAAATATAGTATGTACCAAAAAAGTTATAAAGTAAAAGTCAGAAAGTGGAATAAAGATATCCGCTGCAATGCTAATGAGCACTTAACAAATTTACATATGAGTTAAATCTTTGTCGTTAGCGAATGTTAATATTTTAATTAAGTTTGAAAAAAATGCGAAACAAACCGAATACTAATTAAGTTAACGTGCAAGGTAATTCAAGGTAATTGTAACCGAACTTCCTATTTGATTTAGATGAATGTTGATAAAAGTGATGAGGCATTCATTGGACACGATTTTTTGTTCGAATATATCTGGTAAAATTTGCAAACAATGTGAGATGTCATCGTTACATTATGTTCATGACATGGTAGTTGAGTTTGCAATAAAAATCGTTGTTTTTGTTATTCGGGCTATTTCCTTGAAATCGGTGTTTGTACTCAAAAATGCACATGACATTGTATGCAATACGATTTACGTTTTGATACAAAGATAATAAGTATAGTAAACAAGATATACGAAGGCAGTTTTATGACATGTTGGGAGAGTTATGTCAGTAATAGATATAGAGAGAAGATTATATACACTCACCGGCAAAAAAAAACGGCCACTAAAAACTAGTCCCAATTTCAAAGTTGGATTTCTCGCGAACCACTCATTAGATTTTGATGATTTTTTTTTTAAATTGTAAATTAATTTCTTCTAAACGGATGCTACGTCAGCAATTTTTATTCCGAATTTATTTTAAGCATATACAGGACACAACAATAAAACAAAGTTTTTTGCCTAAACTTTGTAACACTCTATAGAGTGCAGCAGCTGTAGTAGCTATTGCTAAATCAAATCACATGAAAACATCAGAACGTAGATGTAAACTAACTAAAACATGGAAATTAAAAAAAAGTAAAGACATTTTAAGGGACTAATATCTGTGTGTCCACTCGCCTGGTGAAATTTCCCGTTTCCATATACCGATTCCAGGCAGCCTGGACTGTTGTTCGAAATATACGCAGGGTATCGGAGACATAACGTTGACTTCGGCCATCCCCAATTAAAGCCACAATACGAGCAACATTCGTTACAGATAATGGCATTTTTTAATTTGACAACCGTTTTTTTCATATTGCAAATACTACACATACATACATAAATCCGTTTTCGCCTATGTCGCCTTGATTATTTACATATGTTATTTATAGATAAAACTTTCTGCCTTTTCCGAGATAAATTCTGAATTTTTCCGAGACGTTCGTTTTAAAACAGCATATCTCCAATACAAAAAGAGATGATGTGGTGATTAAAAAAACAAAATGTTCATAAAAGTTGAAGCTACAATGTGATTTAAATTAGTAATACCTACTACCGCTGCTGCACCCTATAGGATGTTACAAAGTTCGGGCAAAAAACTTCGTCTTATTGTTGTGCCCTGTATATGTTCAAAATAAATTCGGAATAAAAATTTCAGACGAAGCAAACGTTAAAAAGGAATTAATTTACAATTTAAAAGAAAAATCATCAAAATCTAATGACTGGTTCGCGAGAAATTCAACTTTGAAATTGGGTCTAGTTTTTAGTGGCCGGTTTTTTTTGCCGGCGAGTTTACACGTGCGATAATAGGCATACTTGCTGGGTAGCAATTGGTATATATAGTTCATATGAAATAAACTTTTAGTCACGTGATTAAGCTTGACCGGTACAGCGTTGCTTACTTTTACATATTTTCTTTTAATCAAAATATTTTTGGAAATAAACTTAAATTAATTATAAATTATAAACAGTTACTATTTAGATCAACAAAGCTCATCATTTTGATAGAACTTAAGGGACATAAAGGGCCATTACTACCGCTTTCCCGTTCAAAATATTCTAATAAAGTTGCGATGAGTTTTTTACGTCTATTAAGCTATCTTGTACACCTCGTATAATGTTCGACTGCAAGGTCTGCTACTAAAAATTATTAAGCTTAAATTATCACAAACAATTCATTTTAAACAAAAACTTGTAATACAAAACTAAAGTGTCAAAACGAATGAAAATATCAGGAAATAAACAAATAAATGTGGGAACTTGACATTTTTTAGCACTATTATCTACCGTATGATCGAATAAAAACGGCGTCCAGTTGGCTTGGAAATGCACATCGATGACATTCCCCATATAATTTTACATATAAAATGACAGCGATCTTCATTTCATAGCCATCGCTGACGCCGTTTTTTCTCGATCTTACGGTACTATATTAGCACAGATCTACCACGAGAATCCCCAGCGGGAAATTTAAATTCCAGTTAGTCAGCCTGGCGCTGAATATGTTCATGGTTGGCAGCAATGAATTTAAAAATTGCGCCCTCAGTTACATAACTAAAAGTTTAATTGGTATTTATATATTTCCAAGAGAACACCAAAACGGCTACAAATAAAAGAAGAATAAACAAAGAAAGGTTCATCTTTGTTAACGGTAATAAATAAGACATGATATTTTGATAAACACTGATATCGATTATAGAGAAGATTTTGCTGAAATCAAAAAAGACATGTTATAGACAATTGGAAAAAATAAGATACCGAAATATCTGATTAAAATATTATAGCCTCGTAGGAAACACAAAAATAATTATCGATACCTAAAGACAGAAAATTACCATTTATAAAATATAATTTGCAATATTAATGGTACACTTTCTTTAATCAACTAGTGCTTAAATTTTAAAACCGAACATCTTCCAAAATTATAATTATGTACCTTTAAAAAAATCATTATAGCCCAAATAGCCCCTGTTATGTCCCCACTAGCAAAATTGGTGCGTAAAACCCTTGATTATGTATAAATAGATGTACAATGAGGGCTTAGTACAAGCCCGTCTTCTAGGTGGCGCCTTGCCCGTTCTGAATTTTTGTATTCCCCTACGATTTTCTTTGAGGGGAATCCGTTAAACCCGCCCATCGTTCAAAAATGGAAGGGCGCGAGGTCACATCTATTGGGCCACTTATTAGCACGTTTCACGCATGTTTTACGAAAATAGCTTTATCCTTGTTTGTTTCAACTGTGACAAGAAAAAAGGAAAAAAAGTCATATTCGTTTCTAAATTCGGCAGTTTTGTTGATCTTTCTCGACTTGTAATTTCGTTTCGTTTAGGTTATGTCTTATAAAAATAAATATTTATAAGCTTTTGAATTGAAATATACCTTAATGCAAATCTGAGTAATTAAAAAATTCAGTTTTTCGTCCCCTGCGAAGAAACATAAACAGTATTTAATGAAATTTGGATTAGAAACTATTATTTTATTAGTTTATTTTGTTGTGTTTAAGTGTTGTGTATTTGTACCTACTGGATAATATTTTCCAACATATTTAATTAAGCAAAAAGCATCTGTTTTACAGGTAAGTAAATACTGTTCATATTTATTTCTAAATTCATATAAATTTGTTTTAAATCACTCTTGGGAAAAATCTTATAGAGTCTGAGATAAGTTTAATAATAAACATTTGATAGATTGATAGATAGATTAAACGATAATGCCCAGTTTGCTTAAAAGTTTAAAAAAATACTGATTTTATGCTATAAATTGTTTCATTTCTCACTTTGCTTTTTTGGAATTGTCAGATATATTGTGTATTTTATAATTTTTCCGAGAATTTTTCTTAATAACTTGATAACGTAAAATATTGTTTAACTACAGTCAACCCTGTGTTTAGATAAAGCTTCATATCAGATTTCCTATTTTATATTTTCACTGAAATCATATTTTTTGTAAAATATGCTTGCAAAAGTAGCTTAAATTTGACAGGGAGGTATTTTTATAGATATACAGGATGATTCAAATATATATTTACTTTTAAAGTTATTAGTTATGAGCAAAGGTTATGAGTTTGTGAAAAGAAAGGCTATATTTTGTATTTTTGCTTGGTGGATTTGTTATTAAATTGTCATTCCAAAAAATACCATAATGTCGTAGTCGTATAGAGTTCATTTTGACCAAAGAATATATTTTGACCCTTTTTGGATTGAATTTTATTGTTTATATAATAAAATATATATTTAAAGCCCTCTCTTTCTAAGTTAAGTTAAAAATAGGTAATATCGACGTTTTTACTGGAACTAATTTAAGTTAATAATTAATAATTATATAATTCATATAATTATATTAAAATAGACTAAATTGTTTATTATATACAGGATGAGTCAAAACTAGATATTATATTTTTCTTTGCTATTTCAAATGAAACACTGTATTTTATATCATAAATCAACAAAGCTTTTATCCAACTTTTGTTTTATTAAGATCTATATCCCAAATTAATAGTTATTAAATTGTTTTCAATTGTCTCTTTGCGAATAAACATGATTTTTTACGCAATTTTTATTAGTAGGTTTGTCGTCAAAAGTGATGTATCTATTTATCAGCGACAAAAATTAAGAATTAGATGTTTAAAATAATTTTCTAATTATTTTTTTACTTGGCATCAGTAAATATGATTTATTTTATCGATGCAGCTGAAAATAATTATGTATTCTAAAAGACGACATTACTGTATATACATCGATTATGGATTTAAAAATTATTTTTCAAAACAAAGTTGGAAAAAATTTTTGAGAAAAAAATGGAGTTCTGTTCGAAATAATCGAGAAAAACCCAACATCTAGTTTTGACGCCCCTAGTATATATCATGCATTATAGTTGATTATACTGCAATTTATTATACATACCTACGTAGTTTTGTTTGGTGAAAATGAAACTTTCTAAAAGTATTCCCAATTAAAACATATTAGGAATTTCCTACATTATAATTTTGAAGACGTTTGTGTGGGCAGACAATTTGGTCTAAAATAATATGTCTAAAAAATTTAGCCTAAAATAATCAAAAACCACTTAACACATATAACTCGCTTTTAAAAAATCTAAAAGAAATAAGTTTGTTTATTATATTCATATTTTATTAAATTATTATAGGTGTGACTGCTAAGTGGTCGTACTCGCCACTTTAACCAAGCATTGGTGGGACCTTCAGAGATCATAATGCGAATTTCTTCATACCATGTAAATCTATATACATGTATTAATAAATGCGTTTGCTTTATTAAATTTTTTTTCTTATACGGTATGAGCGAAAAAAAACGGCGTCTATTTGTTTACGTACAAATGACATCGATATTCATTTCCAAACCACCTCTGAGGCCGTTTTTTTTTATCGTATGGTATATATTTACATATCCCTTATCCTTTAATTCCGATTTATTTCTAATAATTATAAAAATAAGATACCTGATTAATTCTTCCGAAATATTATAAAATGAGATATCACGAAAGAAATAAAGTTAATTATCTCGTTTGTTTTGGGAATTCCAAAAAAATAAAAAAAAGGGTATAGAGAATCTTTAGAGACACAGTTCAAATGTTATTTTTGAGTATACTGGTTGCTTCAAAAAATGTGGCGGATACATGTTTTTTAATGCAAAACTCCATTTTTATTTTATTTTCGATTCTGCCTAAAATTCTATAACTTTTTTTTATAAATAACGTTAGTAAGTATTTACAATTTAAAAAAAAAGTAAAATTTTATTCCTATGTTACTTAACTGTCAGTTGTTTCCGAAGTTGGACTACACAAATTTGGTAGGAGTGTTTTACAGAGATGAAAAAAAAATATATTTATATGTAAAAATACTTGCAGTTAGATGCTACACTGTGTTCAAACATTTTTTTTGGCTGATCCGATATATATATTATTATTTTTTCTAGTGATTTTACAAAACCTTTCAACATTTGTTAAGAAAGTATATTAAGTACACCTATACTCAACAGCTTGCAATCTGTTCTGAATTTTATCCTTCTTTTAATTCATTTACATTATAACAAGTTGCCATATGACAAAACAAAAATTATTTATTATTAAACATTAAGTAAAGTGATTTATTTAGTTATATGACATTCTTAATAGAAGTTGAAGGATTTTGTAAAATCTATCAGAAAGAATTATAATATATCGGGTGTTTTTCAAAAGTAGCTTGATTGATGTATTCAATTAGTTTCGGTCATTTCTTGTTTCACCGGAAATGACTACAACTTTTGGTTTTTAAATGGTACCGTCGGTATTTTTTTACTTTATTTTGCAGAATATGGCATTCTCAATAGAATAATTCAATGTCAACTTTTGACTCTTTTACTTAAAAAATAGTATTTTAAAGTTCAATCTAGTAGAGTGCCATGATAATAAACAACATGTAACCGGTCGTAAAGATAACGACAGTTTGACTCGACATACGGAGTGTGTGGTACCAAATTATTTACCAAAATTAGGTACCAAAATTTATTAGGTATCAAAAAATGCTTTTCCAAATATGCTAATGAGCCACTCTCGTTTCATTAAAAAAAATTGAGTTATGATTAAAATACGAAATGGGCATATTTCAACTGACCAGGAAAAGACACAAAAAATATTAGACGACCAAATCAATTTTTCCAAAGCTCCTTGATTAATCCTTGATTAAAAAATAATGGTTTTAACACAGCCATGACACTAGATTGAATTTTAAAATGCTATTTTTGATTTAATTGAAAATGTCAAAAGTTGACATATGATTGTTGATGTCAAAAGTTGTCATTCTATTCAGAATGTCATTTTCTATCAAATAAAGTACCGTATGATCGAATAAAAACGGCGTCAGCAATGGCTATGAAATGAAAAGCGCTGTCATTTTATATGTAAATTTATATGAGAAATGTCATCGATGTTCATTTCATAGCCATCGCTGACGCCGTTTTTATTCGATCTTACGGTATAAAAAATACCGAGGGTACCATTTAAAAATCAAATGTATACATTTCCGGTGAAACAGGAAGTGACCGAAACTAACTGAATACGAATCAATCTCGATTTATGTCATATACCTACTAACATTCCCAATTTAGTTTTTTTCTCGGAATCTGAAAAAATAAAAAAGTTATAGAGGTGAACCACTTTAAAAAAAAACACTCAGTATAGGCTGTGTCATTGAAAGAGTCTGCAGATATTTTTTTAATTTTAAATACGTAGAATTAACCATTAATATATGTTGAACACCCTGTAGCATCTGCCTTAAATATCTACATAGTATCTAATATTTTTTCTTCATCAACAAATTGAAATATTAGAAAACTAGTTTTAGGTTACACCATTATACAAGGATTATACATAAAAAAGTAATAATTTTACGCAGGATCTAAAATAAAATAGGATGTTACATTTAAAAAAAAACATTATGTTAAATCCGTCATACTTTTACAAAGTTACAGAGGTAGGTAGGTATAGTTTCATATATTTTTTAATTATCCATCTAGAAATAAAAATATATATATATATATATATATATATATATATATATATATATATATATATATATATATATATATATATATATATATACTTATATATATAATAATTTAGTATTTAACAAGGGGCCATGAAAATCAAAATAAATATAAATCCATATCCAAAAATAAAAAATGTAAATAACGCTTTGAGGTAAAAATTCGGTTCGAAGCAGATAAGATATTTTATTCTTTACCGAGAATTAAATTCGAAGAATTCCTAGTCCCTACTTCTTTGCCAAATTCAATAGTCTCCGCCCCTTTTTACGTTTTAATTTCTGCCACCAGTTGGCAGCATCGACTTATACAGGCACATTGACTAACTATTAATATATAAACAAGGGTAAAACTATCGCTACCGTAGTTAAAATAAATTATAATATAAGTTAAACCTTCTAAAGATACCAAAATATTTACTTACCTTTTTATTTTAACATCGATTGCCGTTGATCGGATACTTCTTAGTCCCGACAAAGTTTACAGAATTAATTAAAGTCTTGATTAGGATTCTTGTTTCTCTAAAATGTAAAAAACATATGCATTTGTTCGTTCAAATGAACAATTGAACAAAGTTGGAAAAATTAAATCTTCCGATTCACTGAAACCAATCGTAACATCTACGAGTATCAGTAAACATAGTAATTTTATTAGTCGATAGGAGCTACCACATAATGACAGCTAATAGCTTAAAACTAGAGCGCTTTAAAGACTTTATTTATGTGAGATAAATTTGGGATTTATTAAATTATTTTTAGCACAGGTAAAGATATGAGAAATTGGTTTAGGGAACATATCAATTTTTCACTACTAAGACAAAAAATGATCTTAAAGATCAGTTTGCAATAGCTGTTAAAGATAAAATATCAGTAAGAGTAATAAAATAACAAATATAACATTTATAAGGTCGTACCCCTTAATGAAAACGTGTGAGAACAACAACATGGTCGCGTGATATCTAAAATAGAACATGGAACTTCAGCCAATTTTTTTTGGGGAAACTGTCTCGACACTACGACACACCGCTATTTAGTCTTAATAAAATTTGCATTCGTCGCACACTAAAATTCCTCGTCTGAGTTCAATTCTAGTGAGATTAGTGACATAAATGTGACATTCCAATGCACAAATATAAACAATAATATAAACGAATAGTGAAGTGTTGAATTCTTTGAAATCAAGATTCTAAACTTTAGTAAACCGGTTGTTTACGCTTTTTCTAATCCCAACTGGAGATTTTTTTTGGATATTGTATTTCAAATTCTAGGATATATTTTTATTTTTTGAAACTTTGTTCAGTGTCTATACCTATAGACTGACCATGACTTTACTTTTCCCAGAAATCTACAGAAAAATCATTGTTCTATTGCCAAAACTTCAATACTATCGTCTTGACCTCAAAGCCTATACTCAACCTTTATTCTGTATTTAACACTTCAACGACCTTTCTTTCTACATCTTCAGTATTTGAGTTAATTGCTGAAAATATTTACTGTGCGATTTTTCCGATGCTAATTTTATTTTCGTCAATGCAAGTTTGAAAATAACACGAGAACCCGACTTTGATGTGATAAAAATATTCTTTACAAGGGTCAGTCATAAACTTAGCAACAATTCTAATTTTAATCCGTAATCTTAAATTAAATGAAATAAACTATCGACTATGGGAGGATTAACTGATATCACGCTATAATTCAAAATATTTTCTTAATAAGTTATCTTATTCCAGTAAGACGCACGTTCAAAAATTATTGTAAACAATAAATTAAAGAGTCGACTTATTGAGTTATTATGTAGTCGAATTTGTGATTTTTGAATCTATATTTCAATAAGAAGTAAGTGTTCTTGCAAAAATAAAAAATGTTAACGGAGTCAATAGGGAATGTGAACGCTGGACTTAAAAAGTGTTTGTCACAAGTGTCGATTCTGGCAAGTAAGGCTAGTCATTCTGGTGAAGAGGCATGGCACCATACTTGGTCCAGGTAATTATCACTTACAAAATAAAACTGTTATACCTATGGAAATCATCTATCCTCGTTGATTAATATTTACTGAAATTAAAAGTATCTATCTCAATATATATTTTTAATGCTGAATTTGTTATACTCTAGTTGTAAAGTATAAAAACTATGCGAACATCCGGATATTTAAGTGTGGCTACATATTTGTCAACAATAAATTCTCAAACAAAACGTGCAATTTTAGAGAAGCCGTTGGCTAGTTTACAAAATATCTAAAATATTTGGTTAAAAAGTAAACTTTGCATTTCTATTAATACATAATAACGATTTCATTGGTTAGTACCTCGGTTAGTACGCAAATTAAACTATTACCATTAGATAAATTATTAGAAGAGTTCGTAATGTCAATGATGAATGTTGTGTTATAATTTGCTTCGTTTCTGGAATTTCTTTTAACTGTTAGTCCAAGAAAATAGGCCTTCAAATACGAAGTTTTGGTAAAAACTTGAATTTTTGATATAAGGTCTAAAAACCAATTATTATTTTTTTAATTCACACCCGAGGAGGGATGAAATAAATAAAGTAATGTTTTCGAAATTTCGGAGAAAGGGTAAGGATTAGAAAAAAAAAGTTCAAATAAGAGCTGTAAAGCGTCAGATTTCACACAAAAATAGTTTTTATACTTTTTTACTCAAATCAAAATTAACCGAGATAAGGTGACTAGAAGCTAGGAACAGCGTTTATTGGAACATTTTTAGTCCAAGTCCTTACCG